TTCAGTATGCACTGGGATTCAGACCTATGGTCCCGCTGTATGTGCTGCAGGTTTTGATCTCAAGAAACACGAGGAGCTTTTTGCAGGGCTACAACTGAGACTACAACCTGTCCCTAAATGCTGAATTCTTCCAGTATTTATTTAGTGTAGGAAGGCCTTTGAGCACTCTTGATTTTCAATTTTTTTCTGTTCTGAGATTAAAAATAAGGAGTAGAGATGGCTGAGAATCAGCGGACCCAGGAGGCCAGTGCAGGAGACACTCACTGCCCTAAATCCAGCTCTGTTGGTTTTGAGGATGACCATGTTGAGACTGCACAAGAAATACCAGTGCATGAAGTGCCAAGAGAATTAAGCTCTTTGTCCATACATGTCACAGACAGGATTTTTTTTATTTATTTAGTCAATAATCAATTGTGAACCGTCTCACCAGAGGTCCTGAATCTAGAATATCTGGAAGAGCTGCATATGGAAAAGAACCAGGTTATAAGCATCCCCAGGAAGATCAATTATCTGAGGCACATGAAGATCCTCTGCTTGGTTCAGAATCACATACAGGACATATGTGAATAACTGGGGAGAGGTGAAATGTCTTCTGAACTTAGATTTAAGTAATAATCCCTTCTCCTGTAGTTCGCTGCCAGTTGTCAGCAAGCTGCAGTCCCTTCGTCAGCTCAGGCTCTATAAAACAAACTTGTGTGAAATCCCAGTGCAGATCTGTGGATACCTCCATCATGTTAAAGTGCTTGGCCTTTCTGACAATAATCTCAAGTGCCTGCCTAAAGAAATAGTGAACCTGACAAAACTCAAGGAAATTTACCTCCAGAAAAATAGATTTGAAAGTTTTCCCAAGGAGCTTTGTCATATTGCTAATAGATCTGGAACAAAATCTCATCAGTCTCATCCCAGAAGAGGGAGGCTTTTTGACAAACTTAGTTAGGCTATTTTTAGCTTTTAATAACTTATCATCCATTCCTCCTACACTGCAACACTGCCAGAAGCTGGCTGTGCTGGATCTGTCTCATAATCTCCTGCACAACTTCCCCCATGTTTGAAGAATCTCACTGAAATGAGAGTACTCAGGCTGACTGCTGACAGCCTGGATAAATTCCAACACCAGATCTGCTGCTGGCCATCCCTTTCCCATGTTTTTCTGAGGAACGTTGGAGTGCACACACGACCTGGGTCCTTCACCAGATTAACCAGTGTCAGGATACCACATCTGAGTGAAAATTGCTTTGGTGATATTCCTAAAGGAATATGCACTATGAAAAATCTGGAAGCATTGGCCCTGGATGACAATCAGATACAGGAGGTATTTGCTCCCTTGTTATAATTTTTACTTTATTGATACCTCTCTTTTGCAAAATCTAAGTTCTTCATTACAACTGAGTTTTCCCTACTACAGTGAGAAGGCATGTTCCACCTGGTATGCTCCTGAGCCTGGTTACTCATTATCACTGACATCTGAGTATTCCGGCAGGGAGAGAATAGCAAGAATGTGGAAACACTGACCTTTTTGTTGAAATGTAAAGATGAAATACTGACCGGAGGTATTACTTCAGTCTTTTTGTGTCTTTTTTATTGTGTACACTGGAAAATAAGAGCTGCCTTTGTGTAGAATCAATACAGCCCAAACTGAAACAGAGCAGAGGGCAATTTAAAAATGGATGTGATATTGTTAATGCCTTTAACACCATTAACATTTGCTGTTCATTTGATAATGAACCATTATGTACCCTAAAGCTGTGCTATTATAAGTGTAACAGTATTCATGGACATACTCATTTTAGGGCTCAGAATACACCTTCCTTTTTATGTAATCCAACGCTGCTTTTCCAAGGAGATGTTCAGTTGTGCAATTTTCTTCTTGAAGTTTACATTTACAGAAGTAGTAATTTATGCAAAAGAATCACTTTCAGATTTCATTCATTTAAATTACTCTTCCCCGCACTGTGCATACAAAGGAAATGAAGAAGCAGACTAATGTTTCTGCTAAGAAATAAAATTAACCCCGTAAGAAAACTTTCCAGCAGAGGAAACAACATCGATTTTTTTGCCCAAATTTCCACCATACTGTGAGGCATAATGTTATATTAATGAGCAGAATATTCTGTGTTCATCCATCAACAGTAATGTGGCTCCACAGTATTTTCTTGGACATTTTTCCCTAAAAAACAAAATCCCAAGGATTACTGTTTAATTCACATAATGTATCTTTTTAATGACTGTGTCTAGATACCTGCAGAGGTGAAAGAACTGGCAACTTTGAAATGCCTTAGCCTGTCTGAAAACCGATTCAGTATCTTTCCAAAGGAAATCTTTCTCCTGGAGTCATTGGAGAGATTATACTCTGGAAAAAATAAAGGAATTAAATTCACAAGTCTGCCAGAAGACATCACCAAATTGCAAGTAGGAGCAATAAAAGGGAGAAGATCTTGGTCAGTTGCAGCATGGCACTTCTGTGGACTTCAGCTGCGCCCAAATGCAGGACTGAAGGTTCTCCTATTCTCTTTAGGTACACGGTGCAGCATCAGGTCAGGGCTGTCAGAATAGGAATAATATCAAAACTCTGTGTTTGAAACTCATGTTGTCTCTTTGTGTTTCATAATCATCCCAATGGGATCTCAGTTTATAAACCTTACTTCTGCACTTACTGATATTCTCCATACATTGATTATACAGCAAGATAAGGAAAAATAATTCAATTATTAAAACTTAAGCACACCAGAATCTGAAAGAACTGAATATGGAGAATAATTGTCTGGAGTACCCGCCCCCAGCCATCAGCTCATTGACCCTCTTGAAAATACTTGACCGTCGCAACAATCTCCTTAAACAGCTCCCAGACTCTGTATGCCAAACGTAAGGTGAAAAATAGTCCTTGTGTTTGTGGCCTTAAAGACACAAATACTAGTAAGCATTTTGGAAGAAGGAGAGAGAGAAGGGAAGGAAGGAATGCAGTGCATCATTCAGGGCTGATCCTGTAATTGTAAGGGAGGCAAATAGGATAAAAATCTAGGAATTGGGAGGGTGGGGGAAGTGCTGTGCCCAAGCCAAGTGGACAGGAGGTCCTCACCCATGACCTACCTCAACCTCAGGGTCTGGGGAAAAAGAGGTTTCCCAGAGCTCAAAGCAGACCCCCTGATGTGGGAAGATCCACTGAGTCAGCACCAGTGATGCCAGGGCGGTGGTGTGGAACTGGCTCTCTGGGGGTGCTCCCCAGCCCAGTCTTTCCATCTTCCCCAGTTCTCCATTGCACCTCTGTGTGGCTAAGTTCACTAGCACTGCTGGTGTGCCAACTGGCAGGACTTTTGAAAGCTGAATTTAGCCACCTGGCTGCCAAGTGAATAGTCTTCACCTAGTGAAGCAAATGATTTACTAGGAGAGCCTGAGTCGCATCCTTCTATATTTGGGAGCAGATACTTTGAATTTTAAATACTCTGGTGAGATGTTCAATGCACACATTCACTACATGCACAGACTGAATTGTTTGTGCCTCATCCATGTGCTGTTTATGGGGAGCACGAAGAAATGCTCCACATAATCTGTTCTTTGTGCTGCAGCCATTTGCTTTTGTGTGCTCAGGTTTGCAAAAACTGCTCATTCAGAAGAATCACCTGTCCCAGCTGCCCGAAAATTTGGACAATCTTCAGCAGCTGGAGCTGGTCCTTGTGGATGAGAACTCCATGACAGATCCCTTGACTGAAATGTGCTGACAGAGGACATCCTCCATCTGGGAAAACATACGGGAAAAAAGGCGTATAAAGACCATGAACTTAAAGGTAGGGGTGTCACCACAATATACATACAAAAAGCTGTGGTTTTAGTAATTTTCTACCTTGTAGAACAACCTACAGGGCACTCTATGCAACATCAAAAACATCTTAAACCACCGTTTGCATCAGTTATGGCAGAGCAGTACTTCTATCACTGATCATGTTAAGGTAGGATATAGGGAACCATCAGGAAAGACAGCACTGGGCATCACTCGAAAATGTACCAGAAGGTTGTGGCTGCCCCGCCAGGTCACAGTCAGCAAGAACAGAACAGCCCTTACAACTTGCAAGGGAGCTTTCCCTTAGTTCCTTGTCCAGTGGAAGGGGAATGGTTAGTGTGTTTAAAAACAGGTCAGATCTTCTAAGTCAAGGCATTGCTTAAAGATGAAAGTAACTGCAGGTGGCATCTTCACTCTTGCTGACTGTAATTTGGCTGCAGAGAGTTGAAGATCGTTTGTGCAAACACACTGAACAAAACACAGGTTTTGTGTGGTTTTGTGTTGTATTTTTCTTCCAAAAGAACATCAGTCTATATCACCAGTGGGCCACGGAATGAATGTGCTCAGAAAACATACAGGGCAAGAAGGAAGGAAAGACAAATCCTCAGTCTTTGACTCTTCTGAACCTAAATTATTCCTCTTTTCCTAATGTCTGTAATTTCTTCATGAACTACTCTGTTTCTCCCAAACTGATCTTCCAAACTAAAAAGCAACATTTAAAGATGTGTAGACATAGTTATTTTCTACTCTAATCAAAAGGTCTGGAGGACTACACTGTTGGTGTCCTCCCTGGTAAGAAATTCCTCTTGAAAAAAATAACACATAAAGTAAAAGAAAAGTCAGGTGGCTGGCAGTCTATCTTAGCTGCAAATGATGTAGTCTAATATAGAATAAAAGGGGGGTTTGGAGACCGCAATGTGCCTGGCTTTTTGCACCAAGAATATCCACCAGTAATACTGTTCCACGTGACTGTTTGCTTTTACCCTTTTCCTCCAGGTAACCAGGTAACCAGACTGTTCTCCCTTTTTCAGATGCAAAGTTTGTGGCGTGTGTTGATGAACCAGAAGGAGATTGGACCTTTCTTGACACTTAAGAATGTAACAAAAAAACAAACAAACAAACAAAAAAAAACAAAAACAAAACAAAACAAAAAACAAAAAACAAACAAACAAACAAAAAAAAAGACAGAAAGAAAGAAGGAAAAGAAAGGAAAAGGAAAAGGAAAAGAGAAGCCTGTAAAAGGATCAAAGCCAAAAGGTGATATTTGGGCAGTAAAGAGCTCTTTTCATTTATAAGAAGGGCAAATGTGAGCAGAGACAAGCAAGCAGGAGGCAAGCAGTATTAAAGCATTTGAATCAGTGAGTGTTATAATGAAAACAGATGATTTTTTGAGGTTTGGTTTTGTGTTTTTGTCAACATTGATTCCAGCTGAATCAGGCAGATTCTGAAATATTCTCGAGATGTCTCATTCTGAATGCATGTTATCTCAAAGCATAAAGGCAGCTGATTATCTGGAAAGTAATCTAATCTGTAGGAATCTGGTGCAATGAAATGTTCTTTTTTTCTGAATCCCAAAGTATTTTACATGCAATTCTTAGAAAACTGTTTTCCAGTCAGTGAGGTACAGCCATATCTAGAGTGAAACAACATTTGTGGCCCCACCTACTAGCAGTTATTTGATGAGTTTTATATTCAGAAATTATCAGTACCTTGTTTGGAAATATGGAGGAGGATTCCAGGCAGTAAGAACATATGCACTTCTACCAGAACCTGCATTACCATCCTGTCTTACAGAGGTGTAAAAACCTGTTTTGAAAGTATCTCTACACTTTTGTAAAAGTGTTCACTGATGTTTTGACAATCTGTAGTTATAGTATTTTGAATGACTGCAAGCTGTCAAATCCGTACTGTTATAGCTCATTTCTGAGATAGCTTGGTGACAGTTTGTAAAACATCTGTGTACGACAGGCTTATTTGAAAGCAGAGAGTCTGCAGAATGCAATATTCTGCAATGATTCTGGGTCCTGGCACATCATAACACCTTTGTTATTCAAAAGAACCATGACAAACACTTCTTACTATATTTCTAGCATGCCAAATTTATATGCAACCATGTCTTTCCACAGCACTTTACAGATACCCGTTTGTCCTAGACATCTGATGTCCTTGTTTAGTTTTTATTCTGTATTGCTCAGTTACTCCTTAAACCCCTCCAGAGCTTTATTTGCAGCATACATAAAGCACAGAACTAGACTGGGGCCCACCACTGCGCAGATTGAAAATGCAGGAGTGGATGGGAGCAGAACCCTTTATTTAGTTTAATTGGCTGGTGGGAACTGCAGTCCTGCTCTCCCTCCTCTTGTCTGAGTTGCCTCAGAGAAGGAGGTGGTGAAGGCAGTGTCACTGATACCCAGCTCTTCCTAGAGCTCCATCTCCAGGTAGTGCTCTCTGAATGCTGTGGCTACAGCTGCATCCAGGGTGTGGATCTTATTTCTGTTTGGCTCTTGAATCAATTGATACTGAAATCTCAATACGCTGGTTGGCAGGAGAGAGCTGGCAATTCAGGCAAGTGGGATGGCTTGGTCTCGATTTTCCATTTTACTAGGTAACTGAGGCTGTTTTGATTGTTTGGAGGTGTCTTATGAAACTTTTCCCACCCTAAGTGAAGGCAAAGAGGAACAGAGAGAAGGAGGATTCAGAGACTACTGAGAAGGAAATCACTGGAAGAGAGACGTTTCCAGGAAGACTGGCAGATAGACAGAACATTTAATAGAAGTGATTTAATAAAAGCTTTTTAGTGGCACAGTAGGTATGACAGAATCATGAGAGGTCAAAGGACTGAGAAAGGGACGGTGAACAGCAAGTGGAGAGGTTGCTAGCAGTGAGTCTACACCGTGCTCTGGAGCTGAGAATGAGGAACCAGACTATGACAAAGCAAGAAACCCCAACACTGAAGTCCAGTTCAGTCAGTCAGATTACAACAGATACCGGACATTAAACACGGGCCAGCTGCTTTACTGAAATAGAGAGAGAGGTTCAAGTGGGAAAGGAGTGATTCAGAGAGATTCTCAAACAGATAAAGGATCAGTTTCCCAGTTGGACCAAAGGCTGATTTGAGGAGGAAAGTCACAGGAAGGCAGGTGATTAAGAGAAGAGGTTGCTGTGCTGCTGTTAAACAGAAATGATGGTACTTCCACAATAGAATAACTCTCCTGGCTTAAGTCACTGCTTGAAAAGTCTCTCTTGTTAGCCCTGTATGAAACAGGGCTCTTTTTTCTTCATTTCAGAGGTTGAGGATCTCTGTAGAAAATAACTGATCCCACACTGCAGCAATTCTCTGCTACCTCAGACCAAGACACTTCAGTTCATCTCACATTTCTCAGAGTTGGGGGAGCCAAGTGCACTTTTCAAGTGCAACTGAAACTGGAACCAGGAAGTCCATGGAGACCCTCACATGAAATCATGGATTAAGCGATCAAGAGGTATCAGCACAGCATGGTCAGGTGCTGGTTATAACCTTGACCAGCCAGAAGCTGATATTGGAAGGGTCACCTGGACTGAAAGCTGAATATTGATCTGCATCTGCATGGGAGAACTTGCGGAGAGAGGTCCTAGCAAGTTAGGAAAGTGCCATTGAATGATACTGTTGTGCCTCTTCTCCAGGAGATTGCTGCATGATGTAGATATACTCAGAGCTAATTGAGCAGTACTTTATCCCTCAAGCTGCCTCAGGATTTCTCTAAGACTCCTCACTCAGTGGGCAGACCTAATATCTTTACTTCCCAAAATACCTTACCAATGAATAATCCCACTGAAGTCTTTGAGCTCACGTGTGGGTTAACATGCTCCATGACATAAGTGACTATGCCAGAATTTGGCTTTGTGTAAGCAAATACAATAAAATGCCAAATAAGAAGTTATCAAATAAAAAAAGGAGCCACTTACACATCCCAAGTTGGTGCTTTTTCTAACAAGTCCTGAGCACAATGGAGGGTGCTGTGCTCTTAGCTAGAAGCTGCCCTGTGGCTTTGAATAATAGACTTTGCTTATTTCCTTCATCTTTAGGGTAAGGATAAGAACACTGTCTACGTCACAAGGTGTTGTGAAGATTAATGTATTAATCCTGAATGCAGGAAGCATGAAGGCACCGCGGGGACTCCCGCAGCCTTTCATATGCTTTAGATCAAACTCTTAGATCTGGAAGTTTGGCTTTGTACTGCACGTCATAAAAGGGTCTGTACAGAAAGCGCAGCCTGGGTAAGGCTGAAACAGCTCAGAATGAGAAGGAGCATCCCTGAAGTATCCTGAAGTCTTTGCATAACCTTATGCAGAACACTTATGGATTGCTCTGTATCCAAAATCCTTGCTAAGGTAGCAGGATGTATTTCTGATTTAACATACCACAGCATTTCCCTTGCTCATGAGGTCTGAATAGACACCAATCAACTGTTTCTTACCTTGATTTTATGCTGATTCTGTACACAGGACTCATCTACAGTATGAGATGGCATCAAAGGCCAGAGCAGAGGCAGAGCGGCTCCTTCTGTATTCTCCTTACTGGACTAAAATATAAACCTGAGTTGTTGGGATGCTTTCCAAATCTCACAATTATACAGATTTAATGCATTCACAAAGAAGCAAAAATTTTGGGGGAGAAGAAACTAACATTTAAAATATAGAGGTTTCAAGTATTTTCACATTAGAGGCATCTTCCTTATATATACAAGGCCACATTCACACTGCCCACCCACCTGCGTTAGCACACACCCCAGCCATTTCCATCCGTTGCCAAACCTGCAGTGTGTCCATCTGAAATCATCATTGCTCTTTTGACAGTAGTCATTGCAGTATTCACAACACAAAGATTAAGCGTATACAGTAGTGTAAGCACGGCCCAGAGAATCTGAAAGAATATGTTATTAAATTGACTGATCTATGCATGCAGAAGGTTAAATAACAGTTTTCTGTAATTGTGGAAGTATTTCAAGAGCTCTCATGAGACAAGATTACTAAAAACTGGGCGGTCTTCTATATCAGAGACACATAATACTTGGTTCGTGTCCTGCTTGTGAAAGGCCTTCCAGAAACCTTCAAACTCCATCAACAGTCAAAACGAATGTTTCTTTTGTTGTCTTGATTAAAGCTTTCCAGTTGTTTCCGCTGCGATTCTGAAAGGACCCATCTTTTCATCCCCAGCTCTGCCAAGGCAGGCAGCTTTGTCAGTGCTGCTAACAACTCACTGAACCATATTCCACAGTCACGGCAGGACGATGGGCGAAGACTGACATCCAGCTCTGAGAGTTCTTTGAATACTGCTAAGCCTTGACAGAAAACAACCCACCCTTCATCAGAGATGTTGTTATTATAACTCAAATCCAGCTTCCGTAATCTGGGTAGATGGCCATTCTGCGTCAGTAATGCTGCAAGAAATGAGACACAAACACAATTAATACATCCTGGCAACTGCTTTAAAAGTTTTTAAGTAAGAAAAGTAGTATTTTAATACCATATTGTTTAAGGCCTTTCAGCAGTCAAATAGCAAGATTCAACTCCTCAGCAACATAAAATCACTTGCTGTTGATCTCGGAAAGACTATTTTATTATAGCTGAAGGAGTGTACAACATTTAAAACATAGGCAATTCAAAAGGGACAGAATTATCAGGTTAAAACCATATAGTAGCCTGAAAATCTTTGAGTCAGTTGGACGGAGGTTATATCAAGTGACAACTAAAATAGGCAGACAGGCTTTACAGGGAGATTTAGAAAGAGAAACGCAAAACTAGATGAGGTTTTGAGCCACCTCTCACTGTGGGAGGGTAATGGGCCTAATATACCCTAGAGGGAACTGGGATCCTTAATGTACGATTGGCAAAGAAGACACCCATCAAAGGGTGATGTTTGTAAAGTCAAAAATATTCAGGCTTCATGTCACCAGCCTTCAGATTACAGGGCCTTAATAGCTGTCACACAGCTATTGTCAATCTCAGACACTCAAAACCCATGAGCC